ATCGGTGATAAGAGCTAAATCCGAGCAACACACTAAAACTTAACGTTGGTTATTTTTCACCTTCTTATGTTGGATATCTATACAACAAGAAACAGGCTTGAGTGTGAAGTGCTTATTATATTAGCTCTAAACATGCTTTTATTCTTAATATGTATATGGTGTATCCCCGTCACACAGTAGGGAGATAAAGGAGGGATTGAAAGAGCAGGCAGGGGACGAGACCTCCCCACCTCAACAAATTATGGGGCACAGATGAAAGGGATGTCACACCTCAACAGGATCTCACAGCACAAAACCCTCTTCCTTAAATACACCGCTTGGATTTGGCGCCCATATGTGTGAAATTCTCTTCTAAAGGAACTGCTAAACAAACGTTCTCTACTGTTTTAGCTGATCCTCAAGAAAAACTCACCAACTTCGCAAAACTATCGAGCATTAACCTCCCCCCTTCAATCCGCATTTCCTGATGGTGTCACTCCAGAGGATAGTCGGTCAATTACTGTCTGTAGAAAATAGCCGTTGATTAGCCGCGTTCACACCAAGTACTTTCCTGTACTTAGTTCCGGCACTAAGAGCCCCGGCGCTTTTAACCCCAGGGCACTTAGTACAGATCGCGTTCACACCGGAGTACTTTTCCCTGAGGGAAGATTACGCAAATTCTTCTTCTTCTGCTTTGTCTTTACTGGCAGGCCACAAACCACTTCACGGCGAGTACAGTAGGTGGCGGTATGCACCTTAAAGTTGTTTGCAATCCGCTGCAAAACAAGAGAAGAAGAAAAACCTCCCGCGTATACTGCGACGCCCACCCACTCGCTGTACATTAGGCGTCTGTTTACCTTCCGACCTCAGACATGATGGAGATGGAGTCGACTGAAGTTGTGCTGTTTGTGCTCATGTTATACAGCTTTGTAACGGAGTTAATGCAGCCTGAGCAACTTGCGTACAATAACAAAACAAGCCGAGCACGAGTGGTGGTGGAGAACGCTTTTGGCAGACTGAAGGGCAGGTGGCGGTGCTTGATGAAAAGAAACGACTGCAAGATGGACAAGATCACATTCCAGGTGGCAGTATGTTGCATATTACATAACCTTTGTGAAAGTAATGAGTACAGGGACGAATGGACTGCCTTACCGGCGACCCAGCTTTATGAGGCATCTGAACAGCGTGTAAATTGTAAACATTTTGACAATAAAGATGATCTTTTGTACAGTGCTTTTGTTTCTCTTTTATTTTCCAGTCAAGACAGGCAACATTACAATAGTGTACAGTGTGGCAATATAATAACAATAAACTGTGCCAGGTGTGTTGTATGCACAGTAAATAGGCTCAGCAGCAAACCCACCGTTATTATTTATCTTCCTGAGACCCACTGCATCCGTCTGCCATAAACATACATGTTTCGGCCCATAGTGGACTCCATTTTGTGTTGTGTAAAATGGGGGGGGGAATTAAAAGTTTGCAAATCCCCATGTCCTCCTCAGAGGACAATCATAAAAACATTTAGTTTTAGGTCAAATAATATTTAAAATTATATAAATCATATTTGTGTATGTGCCCCTGCCATTCCTCCACAAGGTTGCAACATTGATGATAAATAAATGACAAATAAAGCTTTGCCAGTTTATAACCGATGAAACATGATGGTATCAGAATAATCACTTACATGTGATGTATAGGATGCTACACAGGTCACTAAAGATAAAGTGTCAGGAGAAATAAGCAAGCTACAGGATCTGTTTAACAGTAAATAGAAGTTCACATTTTTAATGTAAATAAAATAGAAGTTGTACATGTAAATTAACATTATCAATATAAAATAAAGTGTCAGTTGTATCAAGACTATATAATAACAGTAATAACAATAATATAAAATTAACTGGTGAGCATCTTGTCCTCCGTTTCCTGGGCCTTGGTGAACAGCACCATCTGATCCCCGTGCATCGACTCTTTCACCACGGCACGCCGGTCCTCCAACGCATGGGCGGTGTCAAAGAAATTCGCATCCCGTGTCCGCTTTCCTAAGAGGGGAAAATAAGCAAGATACAAGATCTGTTTAGTCGCCATGTAGTTTTACAACATACTAGGAATGTTTTTTTGGTATTTTCACAAATAGAATTAAGGTTTCACAAATCTGAAACTGTGTTATAAAGAATCTTTTGACTCTGGGATAATCCAGTCCAGATTTGATGAGTCTAGGTATAGTGGTTTTAGATCAGGACCTGGTCTAATGTGGCCAGGATGCGAAAAAGCACTAAAATCTCTCTTTTTTTGTATTTTCACAAATAGAATTAAAGGTTTCACAAATCTGACACTGTTATAAAGAATGTTTAGCCTCTCTGGGATAATCCAGTCCAAATAAATCGGCTATGCAGCGATTCAAGAGGTTCAAACACGGAGGATTGTTCCTTTTTGAAGAGTGCTTCATGTATGCTTGAACTTTGTTTAATGTTGTTGAGGCAAGTTAAACATAAAATATGATGAATATTATGAAATAAACATGATTGTGAACATCAGTTCGATGCGTAACGTTCTTTCAAGACAAAGTTACAGTGTGTGTACCTTTGCGTTTGGTTGCTGGTAAGGAGGACGACCAAGCGCTGTGATCTAGAATGCAAAGCTCGCTTGTTTCCAATCCCGAGAGTTGTCCATCCTCGCCTGAAACAGACGATTAGTGCCATGAGTTAGTGAAGCAAATTACAGAAACACTGCACAGTTATTCACAAGTCAAAACGTTTTCATAGCGGCCGAGAATATCTAGCTAGCTAGATGTAGCTATGTAAAAGTACATCTGAGACCATTATTGTGCAGATTAAAACCCCAGTGCATGTAGTTGATTTTACCTTCGTCGTGGTAGTCATCGTTGGCCACTGAATCCGCCGTTTGTAGTCCTGAGTTTCTTTATTTTTAGCCGGCTGTGCACAATTCCCAGGTCGAGTGAAAGCTACCGAACTGGCTTCAGTAGCATTCCCTGGGTCGCGTCCTCGGCGTAGATCTCCAGAAGCGCCGACACCTCCTCATCATTTCTTGATGCTTGCCATAACTGCTTTCAAAAACCAACGGAGCGTTGTGTTTTTGTAGCGAGGAAAAACAATGGCGTCTCCACACAACATTTTCACAGTTGTACGGGCGTGGTTTGCAATTCGCCCAGCCAATCAGCACTGGGGCACTTTTGGGGCACTTTTCACCCACAGAAAAGTACGCTCTCCCAGCGGGCTCTAAAAATGGGGGTAAAAGTACCCGAGATTAAGTACGATTTTTGGTGTGAATGCGACATAAGGGGTACTCGCGGAACTAAACGCGAAAAGTACTCCGGTGTGAACGCGGCTAACAGATGCAAACACGTTTCAACGGAGCCAAACACTTACATGAGGAGAAACACACTGCACTTCCTAAACCACTACAAATATAAAAACACAAATGTACCAAAAACACATGAAAATTAGGAAACATCTTCACCAACTTGACAACACATGCGCAGCATTTAGAAAACATTCACCAACCTGACGAAACATGCGCAGCATTTAGAAAACATTCACCAACCTGACGAAACATGCGGAGCATTTACTAAAAGCGCTGCATAAACGTAACGATGCAAATTAAAAAAATCTGCAAGAAGCTCAAAACACAACAGAAACAAGAGGACACTAATGGCGCAGTTCCACTACAGCGCGGAGCTCGCTTTAAGCGTGCCGTGTCGTGCCGTACCCGTTTTTGGTTGCGCTTCCACTAGGCCTAGTTACGGCCCGGCCCGGGGCCACTTTTTCACCTCTTTTCTGGCCCGACAAAATTGTGGTTCTATCGGGGCCAACAAACAGGGCTGAGTCGGGCTGAGTATGCTAAACTAGAGAGAGGAGCGCTGGCAAGAGGGCTCCAACTACAACAAGATGGACATATTTGACCGTGATTTAATTGTAATACACGTTTCAAAATGATGCCGAAGTAACAACATACTGATACCGGTTAGTAAAAACCATGAATTAATGCTTTGTCAAGTCTGCAGACAGACGGCAGGCGAAAAACCTTTTAAAATGCGTGTTTTTCTAGGTGGAGATTGGCTAAGCTAACGCAGTATATGCCCCGACCGTCCACACTCACAACGGCCTATACAGACATAAATAAAGCAGCGACTGTATTCACCATGACACAGGCAGTCTGTGGTGTGTACTTGTTTAACTTTTGTCGAGTTTCTGAACATATATAAGGAGCTGTGAGCTCTGAGTGCTAACAGCTAACGGCTGTGTTGTGTTTTCTGGAGTTCTCATTGAAGATGACGTCACGGCTCCGCCTACACTGCGTTACTATAGTAACTACCCCAGTTCCTAAACTGTAATGGAAGCGCAGCATGAAGTGAGTCGGCCCTGTTAAGGCCCAACGCGGCCAAGCCGTACCGAGCCGTACCGAGCGTGGCCGAGGCCGACCGTGTAGTGGAAATGCGGCATAATAAGTGAAGCACACAGCTGGGACCGAAGCAATGTTGACTTTCGGGGATTATCAAGTTGGCCAACTGTCGCTGTAGGCAAAGTTAGTCTGGTTCATTATTGTAAGGGTTTTGTCAGTATATTTTGAAATGTACGTTAGCTACGTTAGCAAGCTAACTTACATCAGATCTGCAGGAAACAGGGATCACATTGTTAGAATAAGCCAACAAAAATGTACATTTGAGGTGAGTTCCAAGTGACGGTTGGCCAACTTTATATCCCTGAATGTCAACAAGGCTCCGGTCCCAGCTGTGTGGATCACTCTTTAGTTTCCCCTGGTTTCTGTTGTATTTTGAGATTATTGCACAGTTTTATTATTTACAGCATTTCCTTTAATGCAGGATGATTTAATGCACACGATTAATCAATTTGTTGGGCACATTTGCGTTTTAAAATTTGAATCATTTTAGAAAGTGTAGCGTGTTTCCCCTAATGTACGTAAGTGATTTGGGCTTTCGTAGCACGTTTTTGCGGGTCGGCTACGGTACATTTTAAATCCAAATTACGGGAGCTGACGGGGAATTAAAAAAAACATCATTTATTGAAGCAAATACCTTACAAATTTACAGGATTTATTTCCACCTAGTGCATGCAGCAACATTTACTTCAGTCTGTTGATCTTTAATTACAATAGTAAACTCTATTTTCTATTTGTGTAAGATGAAATGCAAATGCTATTTCAAAAGGTTTTCCACATGTAGCACATTGTAACCCAGATCAACACTTTACATATAAAACTTTGGCAGCAAGTCATACAAAATCAATGAATAAATATACATTCATGTGTACTTCTTAAAAATTCCTATGAAATAACATTGTACAGGTATGTGTTTCAGCAGATAGGTGAGATAAATACATTACTATTTACAAAGTTTGGCTTAAAAACAAATGAAAACGTTTCTTCACTTTGTTTAGTTTGTGGAAAAATATTGCTTGATGAAAATCAGGACAGGTGTTTGTTGTTGTAGTACTAATATTTTGGCCACAAGAGGCTGAAAGGAACATGTGCTACACAGGAATAAGAACAGTCATGTTTTTTGCCAGGTGAGTTTCAATTGCTACCTGCACTCTGAACAAATGGTACATATATTGTGTGTAAGTTATCTGACGTTACTGTCATGCATAATTTTGGCAGAAAGACAGGAGAAAAAAAAAACAGCCACTGAAAAAAAGTTTAATTTTCTTCTCAGGGCTTCCGTAGAGCGCAGTCTATACTGGTCAGTTGTGCATGATCCAAGCAAACCAGTCCACATTTTAATATGAGCGGACTGACAGCCATAAACGTATGGTGGAGCCCCAGGGCCTCAGTGGTTCATAGTGTTAGCAGCAGCGAGGAGCGCGGAGAACAGAGAGTCTGGTCGCTGCTTCAGCACATCTGGATGGTCTAACTCCGCCACCTGTCGAACAGAACACTTACTGTAAGTCTAGGTTTATTTTCACATTAACCTACCTTTGTGTTTTTGTGTCCGTCTGTTACCTCTCCGTTGTCCATGACTAGAATTCGATCAGAGTACATGACAGTGTTGATACGATGGGCGATGGTGAGCATGGTGCAGTCTTCGAAGGCTTCTTTGATGGTGTTCTGGATCAAGGCGTCGGTCTCTGCATCGATGGATGCTGTGGCCTCATCTAAAAGAATGATCTGTTGGGCACCAGCATGGACGGTTAGTATAGCCCTTATTTCTATAAACTGATATCTGCTAATGAAGGCAACAGGACAACATTTCGATATGGGAAGTGTTGAGGTTATCGTTGTAGACCTACTGAGAGCAAAAGCGTCATAACTGTTTGGTCTATATCAGGGCTATTCAATTGGCGGCCCGCGGGCCAAATCCGGCCCCGGGGTGATATTTACTGGCCCTTTGTGTATAATGTTAAAAAGTAATCAATTTTTTTTTTTTAAGATTTTTTTTTGTGCCATAGTGCCTTTATTCCAGAGAGGGTGTTACATTGAGAGATAGAGGGGTAGACAATGCCTGAAAACTTCGACGGGCTCGGGTTTCGAACCCACCTACTATACTGTAGTGACAACTCCTGTCATTGATTGCATCTCTGCGTGAATGATTAGATAATTTCACCTAAATGAAATCAAATGAAACATGTAGGCCTACTGAGTTCTGAACTTGCCATTTAGATCTATAAAGGCCTTGGGGCTATGTGGTTTGATTGAATTAAACACAATATATGCACTCCACTATGCTGTTGTAGTATTTACTGTATCTGAAGCTCTTAAATATGATTGCTCATATTTCAAGCCATCTTTTTCCCGGCCCCTTGCTTTGGATCATTTTCATCAACCAGCCCCCATTGCAAACTAATTGAATAGCCCTGGTCTATATGGTCTCGAAACCCAATGACTATATCCCCTGAGAACAATTTTGCTTTTTATTAACACTGCTAATTGGCTCATCATGAAGCAATGTCATTGTAGAAGTCGTCTTTTAAGTTAATCTCCATTCCGGCCTTCAAGATGACGATCGGACGGTGAACAATGAAGTATTGGAATGGATAAACAATTGCTATACCTCAACCATTGAAATAATGGCCGTAGCCCCCCTGATGCTAAGTCATCATTAAAAGGATAGCCAATGGTTTCTGAGATTGATATAGATATGTGATGAGTGACTAGAAACAGGTGGAGTGAGGATGCCATAGGGTAGAAGTCCGGCAGCGGCTCAGTCAGTAGGGGCTTGGACTGTGAGCCGTAGGGTTGCCGGTTCAAGTCCCCGACCAGACCTAAAATATGGAGTGTGGACTGCTACTTGGAGAGGTCCCAGTTCACCTCCTGCCCTGCCGTGGTGTCCTTGAGCAAGGCACCGGACAACCCCCTTCCCCCCCACCCACTCCCATTGCTCCCCGGGCGCTGGACAATAGCTGCCCACTGCTCCTAGTGCTAAGGATGGGTTAAATGCAGAGGCCAAATGTCACTGTGTGCTGTGTGCTCTGCATGTGTGACCATTAAAGAGAGTTTCATCCCTCTGATTCTATCTCTATCTATTAAAAGAAAGGGTTTGGGGATAAATTGTCAAGCTAATTTTAGGCAACTATTTAAAAAAGTTTTTTACATTACATGTTCGATGCTTTTATCCAAAGCGACTTACATACTCAATACTGTGGACAATCCCCACAGGAGCAATTTAGCGTGAAGTGTCTTGCCCAGGGACACAACGACATGCTGACTGCAGTGGGGTTTGAACCTGTGACCCCCTGATCCCAACACCAAGGCTCTATCCACTGCGCCACACGCCTCCGTTTTGCAAGAAGAATTGCAAAAGGGGAATGTTTCCTACAACTGGTTAAGAGGGGGGGAAAATAGTCTTACATTAAGATCAGTTTTATCAGAAACTGGCAGTATAGGCTATGTTTTAAGCATGGCTTTTCCTCTACCAATAAGATGAGTGGTAGAGGAAGTAGAGGTTGCAAACAAATGCACTAGCTTTTGCAACGTAGCGCATGTAAGACAGGAAAATGCAGAGAGGTTGTTAGGTCTTTGAGATAGGGTGCCTCTCCATTTGTGGTGCTTAACCTTTATAACGGTATCATTTCAAATACCCGAAGGTAAAACCAACAGCTAAGCTAACGATAGCTTTTGGTCTGGTGGTCTTACAAGAGCATCTTTAGCAAGCTTTTTTTAAATGGGGAAATTTATATTTTTCTCTGATGTCAGCTTGTATGGCTCCAGTTTCATGTTGTTTTTGTCAATGAACTTGAAAGCAGTTGCCAGTTTGATTGGTCTTGCAACACACAGATATGCGGCAGGAGAAATACAGCTGCTTTTTGAAAGATGTGTAAATACAAATAAATCAGAAGAGGGATGTACAAACCTTGGAGTTGCGGAGTAGTGCTCTAGCCATACAAATCAGTTGTCTTTCTCCTACAGAGAAGTTCTCTCCGTTGTCTATTACTGTTGCCTGTAGTTTCCCCTCCAGTCTGGATATCTAGGGAAACAAAAGAATACTCATAGCACTTCTACTACAGCTTTTATCACTTTTTAAGAGTGACATAAACTGACACTGACAGAATTGTAAATGTACTTGGCTTCATATCGTATGGAGAACATACCGACTCCTTCATGTAGGTCTTCTCCAGCGCTGCCCAGATCTCCTCTTCATTGTAGTTATTGAAAGGGTCGAGGTTGTACCTGTAGGCAAACACAGGCGGTATCACAGATGGTGAGCCGGTAAATAAGCCCCTACACTGGGAGAAGTGTGGGCCGGTGTTAATATGAACCTCAAACTAAGCTGGGCTTACCTGACAGTGCCAATAAACAGCACAGGGTCCTGGGGGATGATGGACAACTTGCTGCGCAGATCATGCAGGCCGATGGAGGAAATGTCCACGCCGTCTATCAGGATGGTTCCTTCTGCTGGCTCCACCAGCCGGAACAGAGCCACGCCTAAAGACGACTTCCCTACAGACACAGAGCACAGTTCATAGGAATAGTAACCTTAACACTTTATAGAGATATGGTTTTAAATTCAGCAAACTACAGTCATGGCAACCAAATCACTTTGAAAAGTCCAGTGTGTAGGAGTAAGATGAATCCAGGCAGAAGAATATAACTATATTTTCATTATAATGTGTATAAACACCTGAAACTAAGAATGGTTCAGTTTGCATTAGCTTAGAATGAGCTTTATATCGACATAGGGAGGATCCTATCCACTGAGTCTGCCAAGTTGCACATTTATGTTTCTAGAGAAGCCCAGGACGGACAAACTAAACTCTGTCTCTACAGGCCCTTTCATGTTTTTGCGTCACCTGAAGGCAACCTCGCCTCTAGATGTCACTAAATGCTACTCACTGGACCTGGGCTAACATTGCATTATATAAGATACGTTATGATCTATATAGAGGAAAGGTTTTTTAATTTATGATGTTGCAAGTGTTTATATGTACATTTTTAGTACTTCACAATATTTTCTGAATTAACACCAAACTATAAAACGAATAAAACAAAATCATTAGTTAACTAATGCTGTCAGTATCTTACCAGAGCCTGTCCTTCCCACAATGCCCAGCTTCTCTCCGCCTCTAACGGTGAAATCGAGGCCGTTCAGGACGATGGGTGTATTCTCTCTGTACTTCATCTTATAGTTCTGGAAGGTGATGGTTCCATTCTCTGGCCAGTCCTGTGCAACCTGGGCCTCCTTTATGTGTCTCGGTGCCTCAGACTTGCAACCCTGTAAACAATGAAGAAAAAACTTTGGAATGGCATAAGGGGTAACTTCTTAGCAAAAATAGCTTTAGCAAGACTTCCTCTTGAGTTTTTAAATGGGTGGTTTGGTGGTCTTAGCCAGGCGACCTGTGTATAAGAGTACATTTTCCTCACCGTGATGTATTCCTGCAAGCGCTCCACCGAGTTGAATCTTGCCTCCACCTCTGTCGACTGTCTTACTACGTACTGAAGCACGCCGGTCAGCTGGAAAACACACAAACAGTCTTTTAACACATATGTGGAAGTTTGAAATATATGTCTTTAAAAAAATAACTGAAATGGTCATTAAGTTGCTGTTCTCATGTACCTGTATAGTGTAGGACAAGGCCAAGCCTTTCAAAGATGGAGGGATGTCTTCATTACTGCTGAGCACCACAAACAGAGACACCAACAAGGTCATGGTGCAAGCCATGAAGTCCAGCCAGAAGGAGAGCCAACGTGTTCCACAGTTGAACAGTAAGTAGTGGTTGGAGTTGATGTCATTCAGTGTCTTGAACCTGGAACATGATAAAGGACATGGGAGTGTTTGTGAACACATTTCCTTACCAGTGCTTACAATGCAAACTAAACCTGCTGCTTTTGCATGAATGCAGAGAACATTTAACAGACTTTCTATTGGCATACATAAAGTAGTCTGGTCTCTTACAGCTGTATGTGGTTTTCTCTTATGTTGTAGGCATGGATGGTGCTGAGGCCCTGCAGGGTGGAGGTGGTGAGAGAGATGCAGGGAGAGCGACTGATGTTCTCCATCCTCTTCATCTGACGGACGCTCCTCTGGAACATACTGCAGAGTAATCACAGAGAATATTCAGCATACCTTAAATAGCATTCTCAAAGATTTTCATATCTTGAAGTCTTTCATCTAAATAAATGTCACCTTCTATCATCGAATGGGTAAACACAATGGTTTGATGACCCATTGATCTATTTCCACTATTACTAACTGGTTGTCATTTCAAGAAAGAAAAAAAGCTGTATTAGGTTCCTGCTACAGAACATCCTACTGCTGTAGCATCACATTTGACTGATGAAATACAAGATGACGGTATATCAGTCACAGGAAATGCAATGTGTTGAGCGAATTTTAACGCTGACCTATATTTTTCATCAAAACACGCTTATCCCCATAGGTGCCTAGATTTTTTTTTGCTTTGAAACATTTTCAATAAATATAAAAATCTTGCAAATGACACAAATTCACAAAATTCACTAAATGTGGGATCAGCAAATGTTCCGATCCTATTCTCCAACAGTCTTCGTAGATCATGTTGGACTTATAGACGACATATTATGCTCTTTTTCAAGTTCATATATGGATTTTGTGCTTCTACTGTTGTTAGAAGGCTTTACTGTTCAAAAAGCTCTTTATTTCTCATACTGCCTGTGCTGCAGCCCATATTTTCACCCTCTGTCTGTGTGGGAGAGAAACTCCCTCTGGAGGGAACTTTGGGATTGTAGCCTTTGCAGGCCATTTACATGCACAAAAACCTGTATAGCACACTGCAGGAAAGGGACACATCCACAAAGCATAATAAGGCCCCTTCAACTGGTGTCAACTCACAAGAGAATAAGGGTGAACAAGGTTGCCATGACAAGCACAGCTACCAGCATGAAGGGGAAGACGGCTGAGATGGTGATGATGGTGAAGGTGACCATTAGACTGAACTGAAGGAAAGGGTCCATGTTTAAGGGAAGCACACAGTCCACCTCCTCTTGATCCTTGGAGAAGCGGTTGAGAATGCGGCCCACTGGCGTTGTGTCAAAGAAGCTCATGGGACTGGAGAAAATCTGAGGAAGGAAACAAAAGAACACTTTATAATTGGCAGAGCTTCTACCAGGTGTTACCGAAGTCATCCTTTTCAAACACATTGTTTGTGGTTAAAGTAGCAGTAGTTTGATATTTCTTTCAGCAGTACCTTCTTGAACATGCTGTTGTGGAGTTTGGAGGCAGCCGTCAATGTGACCCAAGTCCAGAAGAAGCATTTGATCATGGCAAGTAAAATCATGACGGCCACCATAATGCCATAAATAATTTGATAGTATTGCAAATCTGGGTTTTTGGAGATGTCACCCTGGCTTGAAGATGTCCTATTGGAGGACTGGGGAAAAATCAGAGACAATTCATGATGCTAGAAAAAAACAGGGCCAGATGGTTCATTTAACAACACAACAGCATTTTTTAAAAGAGTTTAAAATATAAATAAACACAAAAACTGTCTATATGTCAATATTCTTCTGGTTTGAAGTATTTTTTGTTGTGGCAGGAAGTGACACTGAGTTGACAATACTAGTTATTATGTCTTTCCCCTCAGGATGTGGGGTAGTTTCTCTCTTTTGTAAGACTTTCAAAATCCTCGCAGTGATCATACATGTGTGTATGTGAAGAGTGTGTGTGCGCCTATCGTGGGGGGGCCCAATGCGCAAAAAGGAATGTGTAAATGGTCCGTTTGTTGGTTAGAAGACAAAGGGACATATTTATGAGCAGAATCCATATCTGTTTGTCTTGCAATGTGAGATCAACACATGTATATGATACTAACGCTGCGTTCAGAAGATGGTTAGTGTGCCTATACGCATTGCATTGAAACTAAAACAACTTGCAAAGCGTTTTTGGCCTTGCACACTACAGTTAGTTTGTTCTTAACGGCTTGGTTAAACTATTGAGTAGTGTAGCTTTGGTGAGAGAGCCAATGCATTCTCTAACAATGTAACTGAACATCAGGAGTGTTAGCTAAGGAAGTATTTTAGGCAGGCTGTGAGTCTATTGATCATGGCTGTTTTAGGTTGATTTTGTAGTCCTTTTGGGTCTATGTATATATTTTTCTTTGTGGTTATTATGGGTCTCCTCCTTGGTATGTGGTATTTTTGTGAAATATTTTGATGAAGACCAGGAAGGTCCCTGTTGTTGTGTCCAGTTGATCTCTTGCTGCGGTTGTTCTCAAATGTTAAACTATTACCAATTTTCAGTTTGGCCTCAAACCGGAAAATTATGGTATATAGAATTTAAGGTTAGGCTTTGCCACTTCACGTTTGTTTCCGGCGTAATTCTGTCTCTACAGCACACTTATCACAATGAAAATAGAGCCTGTTTTTTCTTGTCAGCCTGGTCTGTCTGTTTCAACCCTCCTGTAGAGTACAGCTCCCTCAGTTTGTACAATGTCAATGTCTTGCTTAGGTCCCCATCAGTGACTGTGGTTAGGTAGTATGACAATTTATATTCAGACGGTCAGAAAAGGGGTCTGTGTGTTGGTCTCACCCCGTCTCCCTGCCCCAGCCAGAAACTGAGCCACCAGTTGCTGAAGGCTGTGCTTCCGACCAACAGGACAATGTTCAGGAGGGTGAGGAAGCAGATGAAGTAGCCTACAGAAACACAGTCACATCAAACATCATCAGTCCAAATGTCCCAGTTGTGTGCCATGAGAAAAGATAATGCATGTGTGTGTGTGTGTGTGTGTGTGTGATCAGACCTCCAGCTGCCTTGCAGTATTGATGGTAGACTCTCCAGGGGACAACACCTTCCGTGGCCACCTCCTTAACGACCAGCTGATCACCCACAGCAGCTTGAGAAGAAACATTTGATTTCATAGAATTGCAGCATGATCAACTTCGGACAAACACGAGGGGAGTAGTGACAATCTCTTCAGCTTGTTTGAACCAAAGACTGCATTTTAGCCATGTAGCAAAGAGAAGAGGGAACCGGAAGTGGTAAAATACGAACTCATTTCCAGGTTTTATGGACTCATTCCTGAACCCCTCTTTCAAAATTGAACCATAAGACACTCTACCAGAGACTCGATATGTTACATTTTATAATTTAATGAGTGATGTAGACTTACATTTTAAAACAGCTGGCATTCCATCATCCTCTTCGTCCGGCACAAATGCTGAAAAGAAGCACGTGGGGGGGAGATATAATTCAATTACAGGATGGATTTGTTGTCCTCTCTATACAGAAGACTTTAATAAATACATAAACAAATAATTCAATATTAACAGCATATAGGTTTTTCTTTTCCTGCCTAGGTCCATTCTTTTCCTTGATTGACTGCTCCCACAACCTTTGACCTCCTCCCGGTTATACTCTATATTAGCTCTTTAGCCAACACTTTTTTTGTACACTTTGCTCTACAGATTATTTTGCCAAATGCAAAATAGTGATGGGTAAAGTAATTATTTTAAGAGTACTGGATTATTATCCTGCGGTGGCCGACAGGTCCCAAAACATTTCCATTCGGAGAAACCGGCTGCAAATTCAGAAACATCTTCACTAACTTCACAACACATGTGCAGCGTTTAGAAAACATTCAGCAACTTAATGAAACATGTGCATAGTTTGCTAAAAGTGCTGCATAAACAAAACGCTGCAAATAAAAAACTCATTAGTATGTCTGAAAAAACACACTAGAGACAATAAAGAATCATGCACACAGCTGGGACCGGAGTACTCGATGACGTTGGGCAATATTAAGTTGGCCAACTGTCATGTCACTGGAAACGTACCTAAAGTGTATGTTTTATTGGCTTATTTTTAACAATGTGATCAAATGACTCCTTTTGATAATATTGCTGATCTGCTAGCTAGCTAACGTAGCTAACCTAGTCATTTCAAATATACTGACAAAACACATACAATTATGAAACAAATCTGCCAACAGTGACAGTTGGCAAACTTTATAATCGGCAAGCGCTCCTTTTTAGTGTCCTACTTTCCATTTTGTTTTGAGTGTGCATGTGTTTACGCACATTTCTGTTTTTATATTTGCATCGTTTCTGAAGTTACAGCACGTTTCTCCTAATGGAAGTATTTTGGACCGTTGTAGCACATTTGCACTTTCCGGCCACTGTAGAATCCATTAGAGAACGAAACAACACTAAAGTAAAGCAACATGTTGAACCTATCCTGCAATATCCCAATGACTATGTTCTGAGTGGTTCTATTTTTAGGCATTGAGTTACTATGTACCATACATCCGTTGTGTCTTACTAAACTCCGTAATGAACTCCAGCCTTATTTCCATCCATTGTAAGTTCTATAGTGATAAATGAAGGCATCACAAGTTAGCACAATGTATTTTAGATCACTATGTTCAATGTGTTCCTGGTGTCCATACCTGGGTTCACCAAGCCGCTGTCTGCTCTGGCTCTTAGCTCAACGTCCTTCAGCGTGGCATCATATTCGTTTGTCACTTCCTCCTCCTCATTCTCAGACTGTAAATGATAAGCAAGAACAAAGTGTTAGTGCTGAGTCGAAAAACAAGTCACTTCCCACCTTGAATAGATGTTAACTTGTCCCTTGTAAAAGACATGTTCCTGCAACCTATACACTTCTGAGATCTCTCATTATTTGGTTTACAGCTCAAGTGTTGCAGTTTATTGTTTTGGAGCTAATTAAACTATAACTGGGGGAAAGGTTTCACAGTGGTAAAACATGATGGAAAGACACGTAATATTTCTGCAGCTTTTTACCTCAGACTCTCCCATCTGGTAGTTGGTGATGAGCTGAGCGTAGCGTCCATTTCCTTTCATCAGAGCCTGGTGGTTCCCAGCCTCCAGCACCTCGCCATCCTCCATAACCAAAATGTTGTCACAGAACTCCAGATACTGACAGACACGAGCAAACCGTGTCAAGGAAAGCATCCCAGCACTGTGGCCAGAGGTCAACCAAACACCTGGGCTACAATAACATTTATGGTAACTGGCAGACACTCTTATCTAAAGCGGTTTACAATACTGCTAAGAATTCATGATAAAGGAAATAGTAATGGCAGCACTATGACAACACTCACTTTGGGAGTGTTGAACAGTATGGTTTAGAACCCTTAAATTAGTTTTACATTTCACAATAATCGTTGCAAGTTCCTTATTATTTGGGAAACTGGTGGAAAATGTGTTTTTGTCTGTTGTTGTTATACTAATGTCAGCCAGAAGAGTCTGGCATTTACCACTAGGCTCTAAATAAGGATAAATAATAATAAAAGTTTCTTCCAGGTTAATTTGAACTTCTCCATGCAGCCTAAAACACATATTATGTGTCAGCAGAGTAATATAACATTAATGGGATTTCTTTAGTTTGGCTAGATATGTACTTTAATGTAACGTGTGTTGAGAATTCATGAAGAAATTAAACTTGAAACAAAACAATAAATTGCCTAGTCCTTTTAGATAAAGGGGTAGATATGTACTACTGAAATTCACATTTCAAGATATATAAAAACAATCTATACCTTTTATTAACTCATAAAAAGGATCAACAGAATGTTTTTTTCACTTTGGCAATGCTGATAAGAATCAAGCATTATATCAATATCCCACCTGGAGCTGGTGTGTAATCAGTATGATGGATTTTCCTTGAAGCTCCTTCTTAATGCATTCTTCAAACATGTGTTTCCCCACATGGGCGTCGACTGCAGACAGTGGGTCATCAAGGAGGTAGATGTCTTTGTTAGAGTACACAGCTCGGGCCACGCTGATCCTCTGCTTCTGCCCCCCCGATAGATTCAGCCCTCGTTCTCCAATCTGACAATAAAACGACACAAAAATGTACAATCGAAAATGGTAGAAAACACTTTGTAAATAATGACCACCAGTAAGCCAATACCATTTATGTTCTGCTACACTTAGTTTTTTTTGTAAACTTACTGCAATTTGAACAGCAGATCATTTTTTGTCAGGTGTTATTTTGTTCATGTTCACGACTTTTGACTAAACCTCATCCATGTTACTTTTGACATATAAAAGTGAGCAACGCTTCTAAACTTGCAAACTTTAACTTGAGTAAATGTTTTTATTGATGACTCATTAGGCCTTCAGAGGCCTTGCCCTAAGTTATTTATCTGACCTGTTAACGCCCTATGCCCCTCTCCTGCACCCTGAGATCCTCAAAGGCATCGCTGCTGGTCCTTACAAGGTCCAGGTACAGACATAGAGACAGAGCCTTTGCTGTCAGGGCTCCTTGACAGAAATCATTACAAAAAAACATTACTTTGGCAAGTTGAGAGTTCCTACCTCTGTTTGATCACCATATGGGAGGATATTGAGGTCAGCTCTGAGGCTACACACATCCAAAACTCTGTCGTATCTGTGAAGCAAGACAACGCATTGAAGTCAAGGAACAGCAATATATAGTACAGTGTGTTTAACAGAGCCATTTTGTAGACATGATTTGATGTCTCCTTAATAGTAAAAACAACTTCAATGTGATGTATCATTTTTGACAAATTATCTCAAATATAGATTTTCCAAATTCATACAAATGATTGGTCACTATTGCTTTTACTTTTATGTTTAATTCAGGAACCTTTGTCAAGTACTATCTAAATAAGTTTGATTACTATAATGAGCACATTATACTTTAACTTGCTCAGACATACAGTCTCTGGCAGTTAATGGTAAAGATCTGACTAAGGTAAGTGTAACCGTACACACCAACCCCAGACAATACATGTGAAAGAGAGTCAACAAAAAATACTCTTTGTATTTCTTATTATAGTTTTGGAAAGCCCTGTCATGGTCTGATGCAAGTCGGCTTTCCCTGCTGCGATAACTTCATTCATAAAACCGATTACATAATATGTATAGGCCTATAACTGCAGTAATAAATCCGTGCCGAGTGATATGACCATAGACTGTATATATAAAGGATATGACTCATCAAAATACTGGGCACAGGTCAACAGTCTCGCTTCATGCCATCTTTGACCCACTGCATGGGGTGGTTTCCTAATTATACTCCTGTTAGATAACAGCCATAACCTCTGCTCTTGTTTGACTACCTTGTCAGAAGCAATCCCACAGAGATAAGAGGAACTTTCTTCCAGTTAAAAATGTGTCACGTGAGATAACAACCATTGTGAACCTGCACCAAAGAGAAACATGACAAATAGTAACCCCTTAGTGAGAAATACCTCCTGTTGTTTACATGTCCGATGGTCTGCAGGAGCATATCATTAACAACTGGTTACGTACTTGGACTGGTCCAATGGTTCCCCCATCAGGATGTTCTCTTGGACAGTTCCATGGAATATCCAGGCCTGCTGGGAAACGTAGGCAAATGTCCCATCAGCTGTGAAGGAGCCCTGCAGAAGGTGCATCTAAAATACAGAAATGAGAAGACAATCATATGAAAAGCTGTAGGTTAAAAGGCATCAGTTACATCTGACTTAAGAGGAACACAATGTGAAAAAGGAGCGTTGTCTTTAATTGACTGGCAATAAAACGACGTAAAGACTCATGTGATAGCGAAGACCTTGAAGGAATTTAATGAGATTTTATGGTTGAAGGGTAAAGGACTGTGTTACAGATTGGGAAGCCAACAGGCAATTGTTTGATTAGTGATATATTGATAAATAAATCTAATTGATTCACCTGATTTTGTAAGCATTGTTTTTTTAGTCAGCTGTATCATGTGTATATATATCAATTCCTTGTATTTGTTCAACGGCTTGTCCAATAAAGTTGAATTTCACAGAGCACAAAGTTATAGCCGTAGACATGTAGACAATGCTTCAAATATGGATGTCGCCTCACGATAGCAACAATTGTGTTTAATGCAATCAGAGGAGCTTCAAGTTGGGGACCCAGGAAAGTGTCACCGATTCAGTATCCGACTTAATGTGAAAAATCCGTGGCCATACGCTTTACATCGCATGAATATTCATCACATTCATGGGAATTCAACAAAATAACTCGTATACACATGCAGGTCCTGAAATGTCATGTGAAAAGGCCCCATCGACTTATAATTGCCTACAATATTTATTCATTTTATTTCAAAAATGCATATCAATTCAACCAAATGAGTGACATGCACAATTCTCTCGTTGCTTTATCCCTATATTGTAGAGTGTCAGGAAATAGGTTCTCTGTGCTTTTACTGCATGAAATGTCAGGGGAAAAGGCCCCATTGAATTATAATGGCCTACTATATTTATTTAGAGAATTCATATAAATGTAACCAACTGAGTGGTATGCGCATTTTTTTTATTGTGATGCAAGGCCATTAAATGCACCGTGCGAAGGTTGTATTGTTTCCTACGGGCGACCTTTGACAAATTAGGCTAAATCAATCCCCAGTCAGAGTCGAACCCAGGCCCTCCCCAGCTATATCCACGGCCTGGACCTTTGACTATTTATCACCCAATTCCAATCAGTTCATCATTGAGTCCAAGTAGGTCTTTGTCCCACATTTGTAGGAGATTCCCTCAAAGTGTACACAGGGCATTCCCGAGAATGGGCAAACAAGCCAAAAAGACAAAAAGACGACAAGAGAAGGATCCAACCTGTTCCAAAATGCTGGAAATCAGTGACGTCTTTCCACTCCCCACGTTACCACACACACCAAGCAGGTTGCCCTTCAGGAGATAAGACAGAGAACATTGTATTACGTTTAAGCAAATCTAGGTGACCCAAATAATCCTTAGCAGTGGTAAAGCACACCTTAGGCAGAGTGAGGGAGATGTTTCTCAGGGTCGGCAAGGTTTCACTCGCCACATTCTTGGACACTTCCTCTACTTTGTGTCCGGTCACCCCATTGGCTGAGCTGGGAGTGGGGTCCGGCTGGCTGGCTGGTCTGGTCCAGGAAAGTGTAGCATTTGTAATCACTATGGCCGAGTCACTGCCTTTTTGCTGGTTCAGGTAGAGCTCTGGATTCTGGATCAGCAATATTTTCTGAAACAGCCACACATCGCATGTATAAGCCTTTTCAAGTTTAAGTAGGAAATTCCTCAAATTATACTACAACAATAGAAATGGAACATAAAAAAATATACAGTATATATTTCAAGATAAAAATAAAACCCTGCACATGTTATTTTGCAGTTTATAAGCTCTGGTGGGGAAGCCATATAGACATTTTATTATCTCTCATTAGAAGATTTAAATATTTCAACCTTTCAGTTTCTAGTGCTCGATGCATTAAGTAATATTAGTGGAGTAATGAATGCTGTGAAGACTTATAAGAATGCCAGAAGCAGGATACAAAGAAAGGAGTTTACCTGGAGTCGTTTTATTGAAACAGCAGCCTCAGCCACGGCCTTCATGGACAGAGGCAGCAGACCCAGGCAGAACCTCAGGGCGTTGAAAACAGCGATGGTGGTAAAGGCCTGGAAATAACAAAGAATGATTCTCAAACACTACCCCACATTATGCAACACTGTCACATGGACATCTGTATTATCTTTAAATGGACCAAAATGCTCAGTGCGAGCACAAACAAACAAAGAAACTGAAAGATAAATGTTTGTACGCACATTTATGTTAAGTGTCTAATCCATACTTGTGATAGCTTTAAAAATCTTTCAAAAGTGGATACAAGCACCAACATTTCCATGGTCGTCCCTCTGGGGACATTACGTTAGCCAATTTTATTTTGAAAAAAGGCGACCATTATCCAAGATAGCCGTCATTTCCATCCGAGGAAATTGTATTTTACCACAGAATTTATACCACTAGAACAATTTTGGATGATGGTATTGAATGATATGTTTTTTACTATTGGGAAGTGAAATGTGCAATGGCTTTATATGGCTTATATAGATATGGTAAAAAATGAAGCTTCTGAGTAATTCCTAACGGTTTCTTCATGGTCAAAAATGTATAATTTGATACCAAAATCATTTTTATAAGGCAAGTAAAGTGATTTATATATATATATATATATATATATATATATATATATATATATATATATATATATATATATATATATATATATATATATTTGTTTTCAACCAGTTAACAGTCTCAACTGGTCACACAGTATAAAACAGCTTGATCAGTGGCCCTATGCGTTAAACTATGACCCTCCATGTAACTCTCTAACATCACTTTTGCAAAAGCAGGTTTGCCTCTACTGGCTGTAGAAATTATGACAGGAGTAAAAAAAAGACCACCAAAATGTGCATAGGAAGGAGGTTGGTACTTCACTTACATCCTGTACTTCTATTCGCTACATACAGTTTAACAAACTGCTGCATACTCACATCGGGCGTGTTGAGCTCTAATTTCAGTGATGTGTGAACAATGAAGGTGAGAACGGTGGCGAGGGTGGGGATGATGGTGGTGATGCTGGCGTTGGTATTCTGGACGTAACTGGCCTTCTGCAGTTGTTTCTTCTCATTTTTCCTGAATTCTATAAAAGAGCCAACATCACATATTTGATGAATCGGTACATAGACTGTATTCACACAAGATATTCAGAATGCTATTGTATATCTCACACAAGCATTTAAGTGTGAGCACGAGAACTGTCCATATTAGAATATCAGATTCATAGAACTGCGTTCATGAATATGCTTTGACCATTCATTCTGAAACAAAATATGTTATTAATGCCGATATGGATGCTGGTCTGCTAAATGTATTTTCAGTTTGTTTTCATCTGAGCTGCATATTATGCTACATTGATAACATATATATTTGTTTTAATATTTTTGGGAAAAGCGGGGATTAAGAATGTATATATTTGTGTCTTTGGCAGGTGCAGCAACTTCACAGGAACGGTACTTGAAAGGTAAACACATGGTTCGATATGTTGCTTAATGCCAGGAAGCACATTGCTGCAGAATGCACACCAACATAGATCATGGACTGCCGGAGCAAAGGGCACGTTGGAGCTCATTCCTAAAAGCATTTTGAGAGGCAGATCATTCTACATGGTCTTAGTGGCGTAAAAGCTGGAGAGAATTTGGCAGCGGAAGCCTCATCTCGAGCCTTAGGCAGCATGGCTATGTGATTTCCATCAAAACTGATTAAAAAAAAACGAAAAAACCTAATGCTTCACTTTAAGGTGGCCCTATTGGGGGGCTTCCCGTTCCTGTAGTGTGTTCTATAGGTTTTTGTGCATGTAAATGGTCAGATGGTGAAAAGAGGTGCGAAATAAAAAGCAAACGTTAAACGTTTTTAACAGTCCAGCATGGAAACATGGACAATGATGAAACCTGAAAATGAGCATAATAGGGCCCCTTTAAAGTGGACCTATCATGCTATATTTGAATAATATAGTGTAGGACCATACCTATAAGGCATATTTATACTTTTTTTTTCAAAATACCAAACAGATCATGCATAACAGTAAAATGTTAGCTCTGTTTTTGCAAGGGTTGATTCTGTGAGAATAGCACCATCTACAGGCCTGGCATATGTACTACAGCGTCTCCAGCGCTTTCGAACGGCAACGCCGTGGCTGTCTCCTCCTGATTGGTGGAGTTGGCCCAATAGCCGTAGCGCCACCGTCCTGACGTCAGGACAGTGTTCAAATCTGGATCAGTTTTTATCAGATCCGTTGCAGCCCCTTTTTTAGAGATTTGGGTATGGAGGAAAATAGAGAGGGTTGTGTTTTCTGACACTTGGTGAGTTCCCTGGAACACCGGGGACACATATTCATGTATAAAAGACGTACAAAAGTGCATTTTGCATGATAGGTCCCCTTTAAATAGAATTGTTTCTGTAGGACAAACTCAACATGCATACCTGCGATCTTCTTCTCAAAAGAATCCTCCCAGGCGTACATCTTGATAAGTTTGATGCTGTTGAGAATCTCATTCATGGTGCGAACACGGCAGTCTGTTATCTGTATGCTTTTCCACCGGAATCTGGTAATGAGCCTGGCTAAGCCAACCTGGAAGCAGAAAAAAAGCCAATATTAATATACTCTAAGTGACAATTAAAAATAAGCCAACAAAAAAAGAAATGTTGTTAATTTAGGTTTGCACAAGTCAAAAAGAATACCTCATAAGTATGAGTAGAGAGAGCTCTAAAGAAATTACAACTTGTAGCTTATTAAAAATAGGTAACTTAGCTACCAAAGACTCTGAAACATTGTTATGCCTATTGTTGACTTAGGCAATTCCTTGAAATAGCACCTACTGTACCATTAACACAGTATTGGTGAGGATGACCGTAAACAAAAAAAATATATATCGTTGTATAATATGCTAATAGAAAAACCTTTTGCCAGACCTCTGGCCACACATAAGTCACAATCTTAACTGATCGAAATCGAAATGAACACTTCTTATGAAAATTAGTCTTTTGTTTGAGGTTCTTGTGCAGCACACACCTGTATTGGGATGAAGATGAGGTAGGTGCCGACTCCAGTCAGTGCGCTGTAGCCCAGAATGTAGCAGGCATACACAACACAAATGATGAAGAGCACCGGGGAGGCAAGCACAAAGCTCGCGAACAACACTGCATCAAATAGTTTGTGGCCATCGTTGGTCAAAACACTTATCATCTGCACGAGAGAGGGAGAGGAGAGGCTGTTATCCACATTTGCCAAGATTGCATTACGAGGGCAAGTTTATAATGGTCAGAGTAGGAGAGTCAAACATAGTTATGACGATGATACAAAAAGTAGGATTTAAACTAAATTAGGCGGAAAACAGGTAGAAGATCCTATCCTATCGAATAAAATGTTTGATAACAAATATTGGAAAAGTACAGAAGGATGCTTTGGTGGAAAGATTTTATGAAAAACTCCACATGCCATGAAATCATTTACTTAAAGGAAACCCATCATGCTATATTTAAATGATATATTGTAGGGCCATACCTATATAAGGTATATTTATAAGTTTCTGTTTTCAAAATACCAAACAGATCATGCATTTTAGCCATGCCTCATTTCGCTCTATGTGCTGTTTGCTGTCTACGGGTCTGATTCTGCTGACCACGCCCCCCTGCAGGAGAGGGGAGACGTGCTCTGATCAGCTGCTGAGGAGGAGAAAAAGAGATCTCCGTCCTCCGTGTTTTATTATATAGCCTATATAGAGTCGTTATTCATTTGTTTTAAAGCTCAATAAATAAAGAAGAACACACAGTAATTGGTCAAAACTGTTTGGTCTCTTTTTAAATGACCAGCCCAACCAACAAGGCTGTGTTGGAGTTGTGCTTTGTACACACTCAACTCATCTAAAACACTGCCATATAGATACAGAGAACTACTACATTAATAATAAACTCTTTACAGTTACCTACGGCACACGCTGGCCCAAAGATATCAACAATGATTGTGTCGATCCTATTCAATAGGAACGTAGGAATTAAATATATGCATGTAACTCAGCCATTACCTCTCCTGTTGAAATGCCGCTGTGCCCCCGCAGAGAGATGACTTTCTGAAAGGCTAACGTAGAGAAGGCCCCCTTCAGTCTGACTGCAGTGCGCAAATTCAGGGCCCACAGCGTGGATATGAAGAAGCTTTTGAAGAACTCTGAGGTGAACAGAGCGAAGCAAAGACCAATCCCATAGAGTACTGGGTGTTTCTCTGGGGCCTCTGTGTAGTTCAGGATCGCATAGATCAAGACAGCCTGAGAGGACAGACGGGGTAAGTAACAGTGAATAACAGCATGAAAAAGAAACTATTCTAGGTAATACACTGACTGTGGATAAGTACCTCTTAATCAAACTTTCTCTTTAAAATGCCTTTTAGCTGGACATTTTAAATTCTAAGCACTGCACCTCAACCTTCATCGAATATTTTATGGAAGGTACAAAAAATAGATTTACTCAAGAACTGTACTTAATGTGTTTCCGTATCCTAGGGAAAGTCATTTCACAGGCTGTGTCCATGAGTAACATGGGTGTGATATTCTGTAAAATGGCGGTGTAGTATGGGTGGAATATTGGTGTAATATGGGCCAAATAACATTGTAATACGAGTGTAGCCTGGGTGTATTAATGTGTAATAAGCGTGTGGTTACAGAGGAGTAAAGGTAGTAATGGCGTAATGTTGAAAAAACAAAAATAAAATCCGTTTTTTTTCAAAATATGTATATGTAAATACATGTTTAAGGTGTTAAGCACAATTTTGAGGTACTTTGTTGTTGAGCTTTTTGTTTTTCAGAACTTTAATGTCAGAGGAATTTGGACTTTACTCTGGCAGCTGAAGTTACTTTTTTATTTTCAGCTTTTTAAGATTAAACCAATGATTTCTTAAAATTGTTTGTCATGTGTGACACACCATACTTCTCATGTTTAAGATGTCTATGTGTTGCTAGCATGACCACTTTCCAAACTTTTCACATTTTATATAATCTTTACGGCTCAATAAGCCAACATTTGACGAATTATACTCAATCCACAGATAATACTTTTTACTTGGTAAGTTTGTAATGACTTTACTTCTAGTGGAGTATTTTTTACAGTGTTCACTGGTATTTGTATTTAAGAAGAAGATCGGAGCTTCTTTCCAACACATTAACAATTAGAGTAATGTTAGGGAAAACTCCAAAGAAGGCGACAATGGCTAATAGAGGAGGCACTGGTACTGCTCATATTTAAAATGTAAAGAAAATTACCGGGCCAATAAACGCTGCTATCATGGCAAGGATGCCGACAGTGACAGACAGAATCAGCCTGGTTCTTTGAAAGCGGAGGACAACTCGGATCAAAGAGGCCTTCTCCAGGCCCACCTTGGCCACTTCTTCCTCCCAGAGTCTCTGGAGCCTGAGCACAAAGCAAACAATCAGCCTTGTTGATTCTATACCAAGTTAAAACAGTTGTGGAACACTCAACGTAGTGTAGGTTCCCTGTTATTTTGGAGAGAGACTTCAGACAAAAACATTGATCAAATTTGGAGTTTGGTCTTTTCTGATTCCAAAACATTCTGGACACAAATGAGTGTTTATTTTACAAACTTTGTCCATTTGTGCCTTAAAATTTCCTCAGATAATGAATTATTTGGATATATAAACATCATATTTAATTTGTAATCCAAAACAATGGTGATATCTGATATATATATATATATATATTCACACGTTACCCTATCTACATGAAGTGTCTCCCCTCCCCCCAACCCCCAATCAGCAAGAAGAGTGTCTGACCTTTCTCCGCTGCTGTGGGCTACATCCAAAGGAGACAGCTTGAGAGAGCTCATATCCAGCTTATTCCTGAACAAGGCCCACATCATGGGGGTCAACCAGACGAAGGTCGTGAAGGAGAAGAAGCCTGCATTGTCTATAGGGTGGGACCTGCACAATGAAACACCATCCATGAGGAAATGGGTAAAATATGTAGAACTGCATGGCCAACTGAACTAGCCCACTACTGTATTTGTACCGTATATCCTCTATTGGATTATTAAATCATACTGTAATTTGTTTGGTGAAAGTAAACAATGATGTCATTCACTTCTGTAATGGCATCCAAGGTTTCCTTTGATGCCACTATAGAGCGGGGTTGACGACACGCAATCCAGAGCAATAAGCAGCCGAAGGTTTTCAGTCAAAAAATGTAATTTATTAACAAAAAAGGTATTGACTTAAATTGTCTCAAAATAACAAATCGAACTAATAATTTCGGCGATATACTTTCCTATATAAACTATACTTTGCAGTCCAATTTGCAACACTAATTTTTTTATACCTTATTTTGAAGGAGTTACTCATCTGTCCACTTATCAGACAGCATGCATAAATGGCAACTGTATAAAAGAAGTGGCTTTGGACTAGAGTTTTGACTGCTGACATTTTGTATTTTTGACCCGACATATTGTCACAAAAGGGTGGAGCTGAGTACAACCAAACAATAAAGACATTTTAAGGTGACCAACGTGTTAGAATTAACTTTTTATGAACTGAAAACACAGAGAAAGGGTTGCCGTTATAAGATGAAAACAAGGAGCACAAAAACCTGAAACATACTCCGCTTTTCTGTATGTTTTCTTCTAAATGGTAACATAATTTACTAAGTGCAATAGCTGCCCACTGCTCCTACTACTAGGATGGGTTAAATGCAGAGAACACATTTCACTGTGTGTGCTCTGCACGTGTGACCATTATAGAGGGTTTCATCCCTCCCGATTCTATCTATCCATCTGTATTAAAGAGGATTTGAAACTAGTCATGAAGACCATAAACTCACCAGGAAAATGTTTACTGAGGTAATAAATCAAGTGAGAAGTTCGGTCATTTTCTCATAGACTTCGATACAATCGTTTCGTCATTTTTTTTGCACTATTGGTTAATTTAAAAGACAGCAGGTTTAAGACACTTCACTTTTTAAACTCTGAGGTTACTAGTTGGTCAAACGTAGGTGCCATGAATAAAAGGGTTAGCAAAATGAATCAAACGATATATAAGAGCATCAAAACAGGATGATGTAATCAAAAACACTGACTGGGAAGAGGACCAGCGGAAGGGCTTGAAGGTCTGCATGCTTTGGTTGTATTTTCCAAACAAGGTGGGGTGGGCTCTTTGTCTGTTGTCCACATCAGGATGTTCTGGACTGGAGGCTGAAGATTCATTGCTCTGTTGGAAACCATTTTCTGTCTTCAGAGTCATGGATACGAAGAGACAGAGAGAGAGAAACAGCGATGGTGGGGAGAGACAGACAGAAAGAGGGGACCTTTTGTCAATATTTCGGCTAAAAAGTCTCAGAAGGTGGATCAAACAAATCTGCCACACAAACACAGGATGCAGGAGAAACAATAGTAGAGGAAAAGGTCTCCGGCAAAGGAAGCAATATGTGAAGAGGCCAGGAGGGCTCTGTTTGTTTTATACTTACAGAAGAGCCTTTTCCAGCAGGCCTAATGTCCTTCTCCAGAGTATAGTCATTCTTCATTTTTCCCTGTTTTGAGGGCAGTAAGCATGTAAAGTCACCAGAAACATTGCTAGCCTAAAATATTTCTAAAAGCATTAATGCTGGTAACAGAAATGATATCCACCTAATGACCAACAATAACGCACAGCACAGGAGCTACAGGGAGCAGGATCAGTTGAACAAGATTCAACAATGGCGGGCTAATATTCCTCTGTTAAGCTAAGGGAAGTATCTGCATTTAGAGACAGCACAAATCTCACCACAGAAAGTATCTATGGATTTACTAACTACTGTTGCCTTGACCTATGACGATGGTTATGCTGTGCAAATATACAAACACCCTGCTAATACGTCCTGCTAGCTGTAGCACACAGAGGTGAAGAAGTATACGTTGAGTTGGCAGATAACATTAGCTGCACACAAATGCTGCCACTTTTTAAACAGAGGTAGCGCTTTGATAGCGCTACGTTCTGATAGTGATCCATGTAATGAAGGTATTTGTTGACTATGAAACCGTAACGTATACTATAGGCTGATTTTTGGAGTTGCTGAACAACATTTTATTGTAGCAGTATCTATTTATGAGACTTTTAGTGAACTGCCAAAAGCACATACCACAAATACCACATTTACCAAAGTTCAATACCTAAATAAAATGTTGAGTTATTCGTACTTTACATGAGTATTTTCAGTTTATGTTACTTTGTAGCACACTTCTAATCGACTACATTTTGGATGCCAATATTTTACTTTTTACTTACTCCACATCATTTATCTAAACATTAAACTTTTTAAAGCAGGACTCTTACTTCAGTATTTTACTATTTAGCAATGTTACTTAAAAAAAAACTAAAGAATCTGAGTCCAGTATACTTCTTCCACCACTGCTCAATAGTACAGCGACCAATCATTTGGCTGCAGGCCATGAGCATTTCGAACTCTGCAGTTCATCACTTTACCTTTACAAGGCACTTCAAAACAAAAGAGCAGGTCAATAACCTCGGCCGATTTAATCCTAAGATTTAAATCGCCTTAAAATAATGTCAACATTTATTTGAAAGTCTTTGTTTAGTGACATTATCAATTTAAACTATTTTGTTTATCTCTTGAAGCAATTTCTTTAATATTGAGTTCTTTATAGATGCATCTCTTTTATGTTGCTCTTTTGAACTGTGTTCCCTCCTCCCTGCGCCTACGTTTACTGATTCATAATATTTAGATTTTCTTCCTACTGATGTACTGTCCCTTTGCTGCTGTTGCGCAACCATTGTCCCTACTGTGTAACTTATGAAGTATGATCTTATGTTATTTGCACTTTGAGTTGTTTTTTTACTAACTGTATAGCCCCAGTCTACCTCTGTGTATAATACATGCTTCACAAATAAAGCAGCCTTTACCTTTTTACAATTTATATTGTATTCATTTTATATTTTACTCCTTTATTTAAAATGTGCACTATTTTATGTCTTATATTCCCTTTTTGTATTTGCATTTTCTATTTATAATTTATCAAGTATTTTTTTAAAGATAGTTAAGAATGCTTCTGTATATTTCTTGTGAATTAATAACGAAGACAAAAAGCACATGTCTTTGATGCAATTGTGTCAATGAATTACAGAGCCCCCCCCCCCATAAACACTGTGTCAAAGTTCCCACAGCAAAATGAAATGCATTTTCATGAAGATGAGTCCGTGTGACCCTTGCACAGTAAAACCCACAACATGCTGATGATACTGAATCCCTTACAAACAGGAAACATTTCTAAAGGGTTTCTGATCAGGTGTAACAGCTGTGTGTGTTAGATTTATGTCACACCTAAACGCACCAAATCTTAAACACACAAAGCCACAGACAGTACTATTTATACTGTAGGGATGTGTAGGGGTCACAGCTTTTTTTAGTCCTGAGAAGACTGTCTAGACTCTAGACTATCAACGGTCGAGTGAAGGCAGAGGTGTCTTAATACTTTTTAGTCAGGGAATAAAGTCCAGTGAACACAAGTTCAAATTGAAGAGTACATCTGTTAGGGACATTTCTTTAGAACACATTACTGTGCATTTTCAAATATTAAATCTCCACTACAGAAATACTTAACTCCATGTTGATCAAATATTTCATCACTATATTTGGAACACATGACGTCCACATATATACAGATGATACTACTTTATACTATTAGATAATTAGGTCAATGATGAAATAATACAAAATAGTTAAAGCACATTACTGTTTTTTTTTTTTGCCACCAAACAATCACTTTTTTTTAACACAGGTGAAAACATATCATTCACACCAAGTGTTTTGTTAATATTAAGCTAATTTAGCCTCCAAAAGAAAAACAATTATACTATTTATAATAAGGATTTAGTACTAAACTAGCTACAGTGTTGCATGATGGGTGAATACTGTTAGGGCTATATTTCCCCCAAGTGCCTTTTTTGTATTTGTTTACAGTCCAGGAAACTCCATTTATTTGTAAATCACAATTTACAACTGGGCTAAATATATTTACATTGTAATATTTAGTTCCCAGTGTTTTAACCAATGGCTCTTCATGTACTAATCCTTCATTGTTTTCATACCTGTCGCACAACATATTGGCAAAGAGGACTTTCTACAACCCAAAAACAGGCAAGATCATCAAATATAAAGTAAACCCGTAAAGATATTTGACAAAATCAAGCTTTTGCGGCAATGCACACATCTAAAGCCTACATTGATATAACTAAATTACAAAACACATTAAACAACTAAAAAGTGTTTCTCACTAATTATACCTGAGTCTAGTGAAAGTATAGAGTAGCAGACCGTACCTCTGTGTGGAGGAGAAGGGAGACCCTCGGCAGCTTGTTGAGACTGGACCTAAAACGAACACTGCAGCAACATGTTACCCTTTGTTACATAAGTGCCTTTTTATGGGATCAAAGGTCTGCCTGTTCAGAGGTAAACTTCCCTTTTAACATTGGAGGACAATGCAGGTAACCTGCCAACACCACTTCAAGTCAGCAAACATGATTCTTAGTGATTAACCCTCCTGTTACATTCAGGGTCAAATTGACCCGTTTGAAAATCACACACACCATTTGGCTTGATTCTAAGTAATTTAAAAAAATGACACACACACACACACACACACACACACACAGCACACACACACACACACACACACACACACACACACACACACACACACACACACCACACACACACACACACACCACAGCACACACACACACACACACACACACACACACACACACACACACACACACACACACACACACCACACACACACCACACACACACACACACACACCACACACAGCACACACACACACACACACACACACACACACACACCACACCACACACACACACACACACACACACACACACACCACACACACACACACACACACACACACACACACAACACACACACACACACACACACCACACACACAGCACACACACCACACACACCACACACACACACACACACACACACACACACTCACACACCACACACACACACACACACACCACACACACACACACACACACCACACACACACACCACACACACACCACACACACACACACCACACACCACACACACCACACACACACACACACACACCACACATCACACACACACACACCACACACACACACACACACACCACACACACACACACACACACACACACACACACACACACACACACACACACACACACCTCACACACACACACACAACACACACACACATCACCACACACACCACACACACACACACACACACACACACACACACACACACACACACACACACACCAACAACACACACACACACACACACACACACACACACACACACACACCACACACACACACACACACACACCACACACACACACACACACACACACACACACACACACACACAACACACCACACACACACCACACACACACACCACAACACACACACACACACACAGCTTGATTCTAAGTGATCGGGTCAATTTGACCCTGAACAGAAGAGGTGTCTCGTCTCTATTTATCAACATCAACCAATTGGAAAACAAGTTGGAACATTTTAAAAGTAATTTAAAAAATGTTATGTTATGCAAAACTAATGTATTTTATATCAAGGTTTTTCCAATGTAAAAAAGAAAATAGAAAAATGTGTTTGAATGTATGTTTTGTGAAAAACGAGTGACTTATTCTAATGGAACCATGATCTGTGAGAGGTGAATAACACAATTGCACTAAATATTGATTTCATTGATAGTAATAAAAGGTACAAACTATGTACAAAAAAAAATCTGGATTTTGGGGCTTCTGACCATTTTTGGATAATTAAACATGCACTGGGTCAAATTGACCCACGAATATTATTGCTGTTACAAAAAACGAATATAACAGGAGGGTTAAGACGAGTGGGGTGATATTTGTTGAAATCCTAATAATAATAATAAAACAAATAAAAGTGCACAAGCATTCCATTTGATGTCATTTCATGGATCCTCTCTAGCCAGCCCAGTCTACACACGGTCTATAGGGGGGGGTCAACAGAGACTTTTATGTCTAATTTGGGAAAATCTACAATGGTGTGCGTTTTATTAGGTGAAAAATATGCTGTCCTATAACTTTAGAAGTGGGTAGATTATTCCTTACAGATGGGCATACACTTAAGATTTTTTATTTTTGTTTAATTCCTACTGTACTTACTGTAACTGTTCATTTGCAATATCAAGCCAAAGTTTATGCTTAATGTGCAGGTAGAAAGAAGGATATAAAACGGTTCTAACCAAGGCTCAGTCCTCCGTGCAGCGGGCCGGGGTTCCACTCTGACTCGTGGTCCTTTGCTGCATGTCATCCTGTTTCTGTCCCCCATGCCTGATCTTTGGCTATACCTTTAAAGATAACAAGAAGAACAACAACAACAAGGCCCATGATTGGCCACATTAGCGTTGAAGACGGCGAGGTGAACCTGACAGGTTAGGGGTGTCAAACTCCTTTTAGTCCAGGGGCCACATAGCCAAATATGATCTCAAGTGGGCCAGACCAGTAAAATCATAGCATAATAACCTATAAATAACGACAACATGCAAAAAAGTACATTCTGAAAATCACATTCAATTAACCAACTTTTTACAAATTGAATTATTTGACATTAATTTCCACATTGTTAGGTAATGTGGAAAGGGTAGGACCCAAATGCAGACTTCAAAAAGGAAAAAGGTCTATAAACAAAAGGCGAGCTTTATTCCAAAGCCGATGAGCACAAAAACAAGGCATGAAAAAACATAGATAGCACAAGGTAGCGAATACAAACAAAACTGACCGTGACTGACATGGAGGGAGACAGGAAAAACCAACAATGAACCGACAAGGCACACAGGGGAAGACAAGACTAAATACAGAGAGGGGTAATCACAAGACAAGACACAGCTGGGGTAAGGGAGGCAGAAACACAAGGGCAACAGGTGAACACAATCAGACAATCAGACACACCAGGGAAACTAACGACAGGAAGGCAAACACAGGAAGAAGAAACAGAGAAGACACAAGGAGGAAAACATAGGTGGAAAATGAAAACATAAATACAAAACCGTAACACACATAATGTGTAGTCATCCTGAAACACCACCATATACTAAAGTGGGAGCTATAAATGAAAAAGGTGAAGTTATCCCCCTGCCTTGTAAATGTATAAAACCTATACAAAATACATTACATTTGTTAAAATTGCAGTTCATGTATTCTCTGTAACTTTTACTCTTTGCAAAGTCATCCTGCGTCAGTATTGGAGCCTGACCAGCCAGTTTTGGTAGTTGTGATGGGAAATCTGGAGCAGCTAGGTAATATGTAGTCAATGTGGCCTCACGTGTTACAGTATGTTATGTAAGTCACCTGTGAGAGGTCAAGAGTCGGGTGATCCAGAACAGCCCCTGACCCAGAGCCAGGGCAAGGCAAAGTCACAGAGCCACTTACCTAATGTTCACTAACCATGTCATATTTTTTATTCTAAGAAATGTCCATATCTATAATGAATTATAAACAATGATAGAATGCTATAAAATACTAGTTATAAGCACTGATGAATATTCGTAATGCTGGGCCCTCTGCCGTTTGTTTACCAGGCCCACGTGGGTGGAGTGTGCAGTCAACATGACGGTGCACTACACCCTGCAACACCATCCAACTCCTACACCTTTCCCCTACAAACTACGTTTGCGCGTTCTCGTGAAGGGTCCGCCACATTAAGTGCCATTCCAAACCAATGAGTGTGGGGTGGGGGTGGCTTAACAGGCTGAAAGGAACGGAGCCATAAGATCCGGCTCCCTTCAAAGAGCCGTAATTCACATCACTATTAGCCTAAGGCTCAATGTAATATTTAGGATATTTTGATTGGTAGGGGGTTGCACAGTCTGCCATTACACCAGCTATTACAAATATTCCTCATCCTTTAACAGCTTTCATACGTGTGTGAGCCACTGTACCGCCGTCACGCTGCTCTGTGTCCGTCAGCAGGGATCTGTGGTACATCTACGCAGACAGTACTCTGCCTCGTGGTCTCTGTGTCATCCTGCCGGAAAACGGTTATGTGTCATGACACGTTCTTAATTGATGGCTAGTGTTACGTATGTATTTGAAAAGGAGCACTCCCAACGATAAAAGCCCACTGGTTTCACAACTACTTCAAAGTGAGAAAAACAATTAATGTTATACAAACTGTCCCATTGAATGACACTTTGTTCCCTTTTCACTATGTTTGAAGCAGGTTTAATTACAAATCAGTTAATTCAGCTAAATTTGCCATAATATATCTGATTGTTGAAAAAAATCAGTTATAACATGAAAATAAAACCAATCATGTATTTAAAGATGTGCTTTTCTTTGTGCATAAACATTTATTCTAACACTTGTTCTCCCTTTTATTTTATAATAACAGTTTTTTAAACATGGAAATTCCCTAAAGCACAATCAACAGTATCTCCTCCAAATGACTCATTTTGAACATACTAATGAACCTGTAGCTTAACGCTGCCTGTTCGGTACCATGTAACACTGTGACAATGAGAATCTATTACCATTATGTGCCCAGTAGGAGGCAACATTGCCTATGCCTTTATCAAGCAGAATGATGCAACTTTTTCCACTCCTGGGTAAACTTCATCTATTATATGTGGCATGGTCTATAACCCCTGAGGCAAATTTAAAAAGAGCAATAGATTAAAAACCTTTATAAAATGGCAGTCTTTCTGACTTAGACTGATGTCAGGTATATTTGGCCACATTGTCAAAATTGAGCAGTTATATAAAGTAAGCTGTTTCATTATGCTTGTCTTACAATGGTTTGATTAAAGCAAGTCTGAGATTTTATCTGCGAAACAAAAGCAGAAGTCTCTAAATTGACACATTCAGGACTTTAACTAATACAGTCTATGTTGCCAATATGAGTGAACACCTATTGTTTATGACTTTTAGCAATAGAAATCCAGCCCATGTTTATGTTTTTCGTCCAAGGAGGTGTTTTGGTGACCAGAGTCAGATTTAAATATGGACCTTCTCTGCAGCCCGGGGCTTTCATGAGAGGTGAAGAGGAGAGGTGAGGAGCTTTGTTCCTGTCGTCGGGCGGATGTGTTGGCTTCATCCTGAGCTGGAGAAGGCCAGGCAATACTGGAGAGGTCTACAGAGGGCCTCGAGTCCAAAAGAGTGTCCCTGATCTGCTGGTTCTCCCGGGTCGCTGCCTGCCACACCACCTCCAACTCTTCCTCTATTTCCCTGGAGGAGACAAGCGAGGAGAGAAGACAAGGAAGCCAGTCAGGCGAGCCGATACAATGACTTACATATACATCAAAACACAACAAACTTCTGGAAATGTAATTCAACCAGAAAGGCAGAGCATAATACAAAAAAGTGAAGGCTGAAAAACTAAAATGGACCTAAATGATTTAAAAGAAAAAACAATCTGGTGATCCATTTTCTAAGTCTATTCTTAATTGTTTCTACTCCTTGGGTTATTGTTATGAGCAGGATAAAAAAGATGTTGGCCAACAGGAGCAAATACGCAACAACGGCCCCAAACATTTCCATTAAGAGAAACGCGCGGCAGTTTCAAAAAGAGTGCAAATTAAAAACACAAATGTGCCAAATCAGTTGCAAATGAAGAAAAATCTTCACCAACTTCACAACACATGGGCAGCATTTAGAAAACATTAACCAGCTTGATGAAACATGCACAGCGTTTACTGAAACAACGCATTATAAAGTCTGTGTTTTTGGAAAGTTACCCAAAATGTAAGCTTTGTCGTCTTATTTTAACAATTCGTTTACATGATTATTGCAGATCTGCTGTCACCTAGCTAACATAGTCATATTAAATATACTGACAAAACACTTAAAAGGCTAACTGTTTCCAGGGACGTTTGAGTTTTCCTTCAGGATCCTTTTTCCTGATGTACTACTCACTTTTGCCTCATGTGGCTAGAAAGTTCACCTGCTAAAAACTATTCCAGGGGAAAGTCAGGGGAAAACACTTTATTACATACCAAACCTTTTTCTCATTTGCTTCTCTGGGCTTTACGTACAGTAAATAAATGAAATACAGAAGAATAAAAAAACGTAGACTGAGTTAGCCCAACACATTAAAGGCAAGTGTGTGTTGGAGTTAGGAAAGGTGGAAAACAGGTGACATGTGGTGGTAATGAAGCTCATTCATACATCACTGTGACTGCAGTGTGATCAGGCTGACCACAGGAAGACCAACTGTTCATCCCTACTTTCTTAAAGAGTGCAATAATCTTCAGCGGATTCCTTCGAATGCATCATGACCAGTGGCGGCCGGTCCATAGGGGCGCTAGGGGCGCCGCCCCACCTCTTCCCATATTGAAAAAAAAAAAAAATTAAAATAAAAAAAAAAAAAAAAATATATGTTTAAAAAAATATATATATTTTTATTTTTATTTTTAATGAACAAGGTAAATATTATATAATTGGTATCAGTAAAATGTATAATCTACAATAAAATCTCGTTTAAAATTGTGTTACGATGTCTAAAGTTACTGATAAGTCACATGTTTCCTGCCTGGCCTTGCCCATGCACCTTCTCTCGTCTGGGCGCTAAGAGAGGAGCCTTCAACCAGTGCAGCAGCAGCCACTAGCAGCTGACTGTTGCTATCTGTAACGTGTAAACTATGCCGCGAAAATATAATTTCAGCCAATCAGCGTCGTCAAAGATGACGGTCACCGGGCGCCAATGTCAGCGCCCAGTGCAGTCTGTGAGTAGTTTGGACAGTGACTCGTATCCGGTTGACGCAGTAGTTGATGAGGATGGCTTCATGTGCAGGTGGAGTCTCCGGACCTCTGTCCCCGCCTAATTCTGTTCAAGAGCTAATCTCCAATCCTTTCGAAAGGAGAAGTTTGGCAGATAAATTGTTGCTTAAAGACCTTGGACCGGACCAACCCGATTTGAATATATCGCAGCAATCTCGTGAAAAAGACAACATTTATACACGAGGCTTCACAAGTAGCTGGTACACAAGAAAGGCTTGGCTAGCTGGATGCAAACAGGTAAATGCTGTCTTTTGTTTCCCATGCTTGGATATCACTTTATATGTAGAGAGGAGGTTTCCCATGGTTGTTAGAAGTTTATTAATAAGTGGGCATTTATCACAGAAGTGATTGTTCTGTCTCCACGTTTGTTGCATTGTCTGTGATGTATTTTCCAACGGTTATAGCTCCTGTTCTGTCCCAGCAACACTACACGGTTTGCAGCTCCACCACATTTTTGGTTTATCTTCGGTGTCGCTTAAAATCTGCTTCCCATCGGACTAAAACCTCCACGTAATCTGAAGACAGATACTTGAAGTTATTTAAACCTTTTGCAAACGTTATGTTCTTTCTTGCTCTAGCCTTGCCAGTTACATTGTACATAACACATATATTATCATTATGCTAACTGGTTGTTCGTGTTAGACGATGTAGCTTTTTCATTTCTGAGTTATTGCTATATGTAAATAAGCCTGTTTGTAAATAATCCTCAGAGAAACAAAGAAAAAACACAATTTATGACATTTTGTGCTGTGGTTATTTTTTTTAAATTGCATTTATTCACAGTTCAGTTTGAAATGCTGTAGTGACTTGTATTGAACCACTTAAATATTTATAATTAATGCTACTGAAAAGATGCTATTAATTTTATATCTCACATGCAGTTCACTGTAAAGCTACTTGGTGAAGGTGTTGGTTCATAAAACATGAACAGTTTTAAGAAAGAAAAAAACAGACCAGTTCTGAGAACACAAATTCCTGGTAAAGTAGTAGATGTTCAGGTTGATAAATAATATTTTCCACACTGAAGATTATGGAGGTATTGATCAGTCTTCTCATATTTTTAAGCCTCGATTTCTCCTTTCCCCCCCCCTCTAACATCACCAGAAGTCATCATTTAAGGGGTCATTTCTCGAAAAAAAATTCCGGGGGGAAACCCCCCGGGTAGGTCACTTACGGTACGTCAAGAGCCCCACCAAAAAAAAAGACCACCGGCCGCCACTGATCATGACCAGTGTCACAGTATCTGCTAAATCTGCTGTGCGACCGCCAGCACCATCATGTCTACAGCAGACAATGGTGACACCCGGGACACACACTGCAGCAGCTCCCAAAGCTTCTTTTCAAACTTGTATCTACATTGTGCAGAACAAGATTAAGTCTCCAACACTTTTCTTATCCAAAAACACTGGGCTGCTGCTGGGAATACAATTGCATGCATCATCTCCTTTCCAATTATTTCTAAAGTAGCGCCTGAAGCAAATGCTTTGGCATAACAAAGAAAGCAATGATCCACAGTGATATAGCCCTTCCACTCATACCATAATGATGTCCATGGGAGATGTGTATAACTTCAGCAGAGCATCTCCAAGGAGATCTTTTTTCTTGTTATGTATTGTCACAAAGACTGTAATCTTGAAAAACTGGATTGGTTTTTCTCAGAAACTCTAAAAAGAATGGATCACTGAAGCTATAGAAATGATTAAGCTGGACAAGGTAGATTCCAGACTGCAAAATAATGAGACAGAATCTGCTGAATAATGGATGACTGTAGGAAAGTACTTAATGTCACTATTAAAATGAAAAAGGGGAAGACAAAAGAGAAGAAAATAATTAGAAGGAAGGGAAAGAAAACTAAAAACTGCCTTTTTAAGTCAGTGCTGCTCTACAGTATTAATAATGCATGCTACCTGTGCTTTGAGATGAAAGTATATTGAGAATTTAAGGAAAGTAACACAGATGATTTTTTGGCAAAAGGTTGGTTAACATCTTGGATTGGAAGGGGTTTTAAATGTCAGGAATTTTTTTTATGTTTATTCATTGTTCAAGTTGTTTGTTTCACTGTTTGTAATTTGTGAGTCAATATTAAAGGGGGGAAAAGTAGTGCCTGAAGCATTGCGTTGTTATTGAAAAAGAATAAGGCCCAAAGCAGCAATGGACTTCAGAATGGTTGTAGTTGGTTTAGTTACATTTCACGGTGTTTTTCGCGGGAAGGGGGGGGGGTTGCTGAGGGGGCTGCAGCAGCCCCATCTGCGAGGCTCCACTAGCACCCGCATCCCCCCCCCCGCACCCCCAAACGCGGCGCACCTACAGTGTAAGCGCGCCAGTTTTGCCGCGCTGCGAGGCTCCACTAGCACCCCCCCCCCAGCGCGTCACATTTTCACCGCTAAAAGAGTGTGTGTGTGTGAGGAACTCCACGGATTGGTCCATTTGGAGCAGGTATTTTCTGTGTTAGAGTTTTACTCGTGTACTTTGAGGGTTTGTGACTTTGCAGACCGTTTACATCAGGGGTGGGGAACGTTTTTCCTCTCAAGGGCCATTTCAATTTTTCAACATCCTCCGAGGGCCGTACAAATTATTGACCTCTGCTTAAAAATACTAAAATCACAGCCCATTCATTTGGCCTTTCTTTCATGCTGTGCAAAGAAAAAGCAACCTCTTAATCCAGATATCTTACCATGACTCGCGTATGCATGCACGTGCACGGTTGTGGCATGACCCCCAAAACAGAAAGATATGGACACAAGATGTGTGCAAATGTATTTAGTTTCTTATTCATGTGGACATGATTTAAGTGGGGGGGGGGGGGGGACCTAACCTCCTCTAGGGGAGTCCGGGGGGCATGCTCCCCCGGGAAGATTTTTTTTTAAATGTTGAAGTTAAAAGCATCAATCTGGTGCACTTTGAGAGCAACATTAGGAGATCTATGGATACATCTCTCAACACCCATATGAAACAGAACTGTAAGCAGATTTTCTTTATGGATATTTTACAAAACACTCCCCTTTCAAACTGTATTCTTGTTTATTAATAACTTTTTTTTACTGTCATATAGTATTTTATACCTGTTTACTTTATTCTCTTATTTCTTTATAACTATAATGATCATATAAAGATGTGCTTTTACCTCACTGGTTGGAGAAAAAGCTTCTTATATTCGTTAGCATAGCTAGCTAACCAGATGCTAATAACAACAAAGTTATTGACTGTATGATCAGTATGACAGATGAACAGATCGCCACTGGGCTTTCAACTAAAGACACAGCCACGCAAAAACTGCGGCATGTGTACGGCTCCTTATGGGTAGCCTACTGCAATTTGTGAAGTCCCGGCCCGGAGCCGCGTTCTGGTGCTCTCCGTCAGAACTGCACCCCTGGGTTGCGGTCGAATAGTCCATTTAGCTTAGGAACCTTCCTAACAGAGTGAAATGACCCGGAAGTCCCTCAGTGGCA